GCTGCTATCCAACCCACTACAGTTTCAAAATCTGTGACTCTTTGTCTACCTTCTGAAAGATTTCCATCACGTTTATCTTGCAGTCCTTTAACCGAGTTTTCCATTTTTGTCATTATATCTTATATTCTCAAGAGTTCCTTGTTTGTTTGGAAAGCTCCCTCTGTTATTACAGGGTTGCTCTCAACTTTCTGAGGATGGTAGTTATCTGAATTTTATTCTTCATTATTTTGGTTTCTTCCAAGAACCTCCTCCCTCCTCCCCCACCACATTGGTTTTGCTGTGTGTTTCATGGGGGAAGGATTCCTTAAGTGTTGAATGTAATCATATTTAAAAAATTTTTTAACATTCATTTTTGAGAGAGACAGAACATCAGTGGCGGAGAGACAGAGAGAGAGGGACAGAGAGAGGGAGACACAGAATCCAAAGCAGGCTCCAGGCTCCGAGCTGTCAGCACAGAGCCTGATGTGGGGCTCAAACTCACTGACCACGAGATCATGGCCTGAGCTGAAGCTGGACGCTTAACTGACTGAGCCACCAGGTGCCCATGAATGTAATCATATTTTTAAATGGCGTCTCTAGCCTCAGGCATTCCAGGCACAGCAGAGGCAAGGGGTCAGTCCTCAGGGCTAGGGGGTTCCATGCAAGACCGAGACCCCATCTCTTTGCTGCCTTGGTTGCCAGTATGTAGAAGGCCATGCTGACTGGTAGCTGTGTGTGTGGCCTGGGAGGAGTGCTTGTTAGCTAGTGGGCTGTAGGATCTGTTAGGATTTCTGGATCCTTTTTAGGCCCATCAGATAGATTTCCCAGAAAAGAATCTCCTGATTTCTTGCCCATGGTGGAGTAGGGGATACCAGCTGGGCTGAGTCCTGGGAAGCATGTAAGGAGGGTAAGGCATTTAGGATCTCATCAATTCACCAAATCTCCAGTTTTAAGGACTGAACCCTTGCCCCCAGGTATGCCTAGGGCACTACCCCCAGAGTTGTTCCAGTCCATCCTTTCTAGAAAGCAAATCTCCAGTCTCTGCTGGGTGGGGAAGGGGTGTAGAAGTTTCCCTCCTTTTTATTTTTTAAAACTTTTTTTTTTAATTTTTTTTTTTAATTTTTTTTATTTATTTCTAGGAGAGAGAGAGAGAGAGAGAGAGAGAGACAGCGTGAGCAGGGGAGGGTCAGAGAGAGAGGGAGATACAGACTCTGAAACTGGCTCCAGGCTCTGAGCTGGCAGTCAGCACAGAGCCCGACGCGGGGCTCGAACCCACGAACCGCGAGATCATGACCTGAGCGAAAGTCGGACGCTTAACCGACTAAGCCACCCGGGCGCCCCTATTTTTTAAAACTTTTTAAATGCTTATTTATTTTTGAGAGAGAGAGACAGAATGTGAGTGGGGAAGGGGCAGAGAGAGAGGGAGACGCAGAATCTGAAGCAGGCTCCAGGCCCTGAACTGTCAGCACAGAGCCCAATGAGGGGCTCCAACTCACAAACCGTGAGATCATAACCACGAGCCAAAGTTGGACATTTAACCAACTGAGCCACCCAGGTGGCCCTTTAAGTTTCCCTGTTTCTTAATTTTTTTAAAAATGTTTATTTTTTTAGAGGGAGAAAGAGTGCAAGCAGGGGAGGGGCAGAGAGAGAGGGAGACACAGAAGCCAAAGCAAGCTCCAGGCTCTGTGCTGACAGCTCAGCACAGACACTACACGGGGCTCAAACTAACGAACTGCAAAATCATGACCTGAGCTGAAGTCAGATGCTTAACCTACTGAGCCACCCAGACGCCCCTCCCTGCTTCTTACATAGATTATCACCTAGTCCTCCAACTTTCCAATTCCCTTTCACTCCCACCATCAGGGGTTCTAGGGTGGGCCTCCCTGAACCATTGAGGGGTTTTGAAGTATAAGAATCACCTTTCTTCTAGAGCTCATGGCTTAGCTCCCCTGGTCTCCTAGGCAGATATATTAGTCTATGTCTTTCTGGCTTCCCAAATATGGTTTTTCACCACATAGCTCACATATTGTTTTGTCTTTGTGGCTTTTGTCCTAAAAAATTTCTCTTTGCAGGGCACCTGGTGGCTCAGTTGGTTAAGCATCCAACTCTTGATTTTGGCTGAGGTCATGATCTCACGGTTGATAAGATCGAGCCCCGTGCTGGGCTCCACACTGACTGCATGGAATCTGTTTGGGATGCTCTCTCTCCCTCTCTGCCCCTCCCCTGATCTCTCTCTCTAAATAAACTTAAAAAAAATATCTTTGCTGTCATTTTACTAGGGTTTGGTAGGGAGGGGATGTAAATGTTGCATATAACCCACCATTCTGGCCAGAATTTGTGCAATATTTTACAATGAAAATTATAAAAGATGAATGTTCAAAAATAATGTTGCATATTAAATATAAAAATAAAAGATTTAAAGGAAAGCAATATCTCATGTGAGATGTTGACATGGTCTTTAGAATAATATGCCCAAGGTTACTGAGGGATATAAAATAGGAACCATTTCTGGGTGGGAAGATTGTATATTACACTGATTTCTGTTTCTGTTAATTACTTTCTAGGTTTAATGCAATTCTAATGTAAGAAATACCCATAGGCGTTTTCTTCAGAACGGGACAAACTTATTCCAACATTTATGTGAAACAATAGGCCAAAACAATAATAAAGTTTTTGAGGAAGTAATGTGGTTCTAATGGAAATAGTCTTATCAGCCACTGAAACATGACCAAGTTATAATCACTAAAACAGTGTAGTAATGATATAACAAAAGACAGAACAGTGAAATGGAGATGACAGACCAGAAATGGATGCTATTCTACAAAAAGCCCCAGCCTAGGAGTCAATGAAGAAGATAAAAATATTCCATAAAAGGGGTTGGGACCATTGATTCATTTCTTGGTATAAAGATTAGTTTAATTCTTTACCTCCTATCATATATCAAAATCTCACTACATTAATGAGTTTTATTGTGAAGTTATATAAAAATCAGAAGAAATTAGGGATGCCTGGGTGGCTCAGTCAGTGAAGCGTCTGATATTGGTTCAGGTCATGATCTCCAGGATCATGAGTTCAAACCCCACATCAGGCTCCATGCTGACAGCTCAGAGCCTGGAGACTGCTTTGAATTTTGTGTCTCCCTCTCTCTTCCCCTCCCTTCTTCTCTCTGTCTTTCTCTCTCTCTCAAAAATAAACATTAAAAAATTAAAAATTAAAATTAAAAAAGTCTGAAGAAATTAAAATATTTTCAACCCCTTGGGGATATAGGTCTTTGGGTTAAGAAATAAAAGAAAATCATAAAGGAGAATTCAATGAGATTTGTCTACAAAAGAAAAACATCTGTATTTAGAAAGCATTGTTAAACCAGACACGAACTTATCAGTTCATTTGCTGCAAATATTCCTTTAGGGTGATATCTTTGCATGGTACTTGCATAAAAAAAAAAAAACAACCACATTTTATTTTCTGTATTTTTAAAATAGAGATATCCAATTAATTGTATTAATTGAAAAAATTAATTACTAATGAAAAAATCATAGTAAATGTGACTGAAATGAGAAATGAGGAAAGTTAGGAGGATCAGGGACAGATGAAAAGGGGTTTGGGAGAGCAAAAACCTCTCATAAAAGGCCATTTAAGGGAATATGGAGGAGGTGCCAGAAATAGAAATCCAAGGATGTCTTGCTAAATTCAGGCTGTGAGCCACTTTCCATTTGCTCTGAAACCAGCACGGTGGTCAGATGGGGCAGTGGTTTACCAAGGGTCGGGGGGTGGAGAGTCCTTCCGACCAGGAGCAGTGATACATTGTCAGAATTGCCAGCGCAAGGGATTGTAAAGAGCAAATCTAGGATCTTTAGTTTTTAAGGAATTTTCTACAGATAATATTCTACAGACAGTGCATCTTCTAGTGCCTGCTCCCAGGAGAGGTTCCCTCCCCAGCTGCTCTGGAGACAGACAAACCTGGGTTCAGGTTCCCAAGGCCGCTGCGTAACATGGGAAGATGTTACTGTAACCCACCCCGTGATTTGGTGAAAATAGGTGAAGACAACAATAGGAGCAGGTCAGAGTGGAGGCTCTGGGGTTAAAGTGGGTTCAAGTCCCATCTGCACCATGAGTATGACTATCAACAGGTGTTTAGGCTTTTGAGGAGCAGTTTCCTTATCTGTAACAGGAAGACAACAGCAGTGCCTACCGTTACTGTGGGGTCGTGGGGAAGGTTGTGAACCAGGGTGATGTACACCTAGTTGTTCAACCCGACACAGTACGCGGTAAGTGGCAGCGGCCATGTTTCTGCTGTAGATGCCGTGTCTACACGTCTCAAAGGCCAGGATGGAAGAGCAAGATCGAAGTGGACAGTGGGGATAGTACAGGCAGAGGTGGGGACTAGGGATGGGGGGAGGCAAGGAGTCAGGGGGCAGAGAGGTATGGGAAAGGAGAGGAGGGAAGGGGCTGGGGTAGGAAGCACTGTGGGCCAGGTTCTGAGGAGCAGAGCAGAAGGACTCCGGGGTATTGGAAAAAGAGATAATGGGGCGTTGCCAGGGAAGAGGGGTCTTGGGTCATGATTGGGTACCTGCTGTGTGTGCTGGGCTGAGCCTGTAACTGTGGGGAGACACAAGACTCGGGGCTGGCTGGGGTTGTTCACAGAGACACACGACAAAGGGAAGGCAGACCATGCCCTGAAGAAGTCAAGTCCACCTGGACAGCGTGGGGTGAGGGGAGGGAGGCAAGGCTGGAGGCCCAGCTTGGAGCAAGATGGGAGGATTACTGGGTAGCCTGGAAGGTGCTGAGGCTGGGGAGTAGGGGTGGGGACTGGCTCTGGAGGGGGCAGTGAGGGGGATGGGCAAGGAAGGCAGCCAAGATCTGGGGAGATTGGAGAGAAAGAGTAAAGTTGGCAGAGGCCTGGGGAGGGCGGGGGAGAGGAGTTTGAGAGAAGGGACAAGCAGATTGGGGCCTGGGCCAGGCCTGGGGGACGAGGGCACCGTGCAGAGGGGGTGTGGTGGCTGCCGGGCAGCTGGACTCACCATCAGTGATGGTGAGTTTGGTCCCCGGGATGGACTGCCACACCTGCCAGCCTTCTCTTAGCGTTCTCACTTGGACCTGGCAAAAGTACCTATTCTCATCTTTTTTCCGAAGGTTCAATATTCACAGGGCACCAGAGTTCTGACCGTTCAAGTCCAGGGCGATCCGGTTCTTGTAATCCTCATGGATAAAAGGCACGGTACTGTTGTAGATGGTTTCTCCATGGAACTGTGTCCTTCTCAAGGCTACACTCAGTCTGGGATCCATGGCTAAGTCCCAGCAGTGGAAGTAGGAGAAAGAGATGCAGATGGAGCCACCCTTGGGGGCTGAGAGAGACTCTGGCTGCTTGACCCCAAAGTCAGTTTTTGGATTGCATGCTTCTGAGCTGCCTAGAGGAGGGAGAGGAGAGACTTTGGGCCATCGGGAGAGATGAGGAAGATAACCCAGACCCTCTGGCACCCTCACCCACAGGCACTAGTGTGACAGACAGCAGGACTGGCCTTCTGGCCTGGGTGTCCCCCTTGCCAGGCTTGGGGTAGGGAGGAGGGTGAAGGGTTGGGGAGGACCTGGCACTATGGGACCAGCCCCCTGGGGCTAGGAGGCCTGATCGGCTACCCCAGAGGACCCCTTCTCCAGCTGCATAGTCACAGCCCTTCCTGCTGAGTCTCCGGGCCTCAGGGCAGAGCCAGGGTATCCCAGACACTCACCAGCCTGCAGAGATACCAGCAGCAGCAGCAGCAGGGACAGACCCATTGCCTCACTCTCCTCCCAGGAGAGGAGAAGCCAAGTAGCTCTGTCAAGGCCAGAGGGCAGGTCCTATGGAGGTCCCTCCTCAGAGAGTTCAGAGGAACATGGATCAGGCTCCTTCAGGAAAGCAAGGGAGGGTGAGCTTCCCCAAACTCGCCAGCCCCTGGAGTATTCAGCACTTCCTTTATCACTCTGCTTTCTTCTTTTCCTATGTTGCACAAGCGCCTCCCTTGTGGTCAGCGCACAGAGAGCCATGAGAGAGGCCCCCAGCCTCTTTCTTCACTTAGTGGGCCATGGTTCTGACCATGGCCATCTGTGGGCTCTCTCTTCTACCTCAGCTCCTGGCCACCTCTCCTCAAGAGTCAGCCTCTGTCTCTCCAGCTCTCCTTCTGACTGGCTCTCTGGGTGTCTCCCAGCTTCTGTCTGTCATCCAATTAAAGGCACTGAAGCTGGGCCAGCTTTGGCTCTTCCAGCCAGAGGACGGGCAGCCATGAGACTCTGCCCAGCTAATGCCCCCTCCCCACAGAGGGAAGGTGAAGTGACCCACTGGTGGACAGATGGCCTTAACCCCAGCACCAGGCACCAAGGACACCCAACTTGGGCTTGGCCCCTCTCCCTCCCAGCAGGGGCTCCCCTGTGCAGGACCCAGGTCTACCAGGCTCCTTCCCTCCCCTGGTCAGCTCCTTTTGTGCAGTCTCACAGTGTCCCTGGGGTTAGGAGGTGAAGGTGGGCCTTCTGGAGGCCACGCCTCGACCCACAGGAGGCAAGACTGGATCTTCAGGCCCCTGTGTCCTCCATTCCACAGTTGAGGAGACCAAGGGCTCAGAGAAGCCCTGCCCCAGGTCATGTGACTCTCAGGTGGCAGGTCCTGGACTGAAACTCCAGTCTTGCTGAGTCCACAGAGCCTTCTGCTTCTTCTGGATGCTCCCACCAAGTCGCACCACACAACCTTGAGCCTCAGCTCAAGAGTTCTGGGGGGTGAGCCCCTAGGAGGCTATATGTTTGTAATGCTCCTTAGGTGATTCCCTCCACAGCTGTGAGAGCCCTGGCTAATCTAGGGCCTTCCTTGACCAGAGGGGTAAATAAGGCCCAGAGCAGTAATGAGTCACTCTCAGGACAGTGCCTGGACTGTCTCCAATTGAGGGCACTGCCAGCTTATGACTGGTGGTGGGTGGGAGCAAGACCCCGAGGCAACCATTGGTGACTCTTTGTGCCGGTTTTAGGAGGCTTGGCTCCCTCCCTCCCCAGAATGAGGTTGGCACTGGCTTACTGAGTAGATGGTGAGGATTGGAGAACATGATTTCATCACAGGAAGTGGCCTCATCTTCTAGAGGTGGAAGCAAGAAGACCAACTTCCTTTCTCCATTGCTTCCTCAGTCCTAATTTTCTCCCACGCTTCTCCCAGGGCCTTCCAGGAAGCCCCTGCCCTGTCTCTGTGTCTGCCTTTCTTACACCTCTTCCCAGGCCCCAGGAGACAGGTTCTGCATTTTCACGGAATCCCCTTCTCTGAGGCAGGCACTAAACATCCATTGCCTCATCTTCAGCCCTACAACACTGTGTGGTGGATTTGTTGTTTCTCTATTTTCACCATCAGGAAACTGAGGCACCATCAGGAAGCAGCCTTAATGACATGGAGTCCACTGGGCTGTGAAAGATGCTTGGGTGAATGGTAACAGCTGGAAAGGTGGACAGAAGAGAGGGACTGACTGCCTTCTTGGCAGCTCCTCTGTGGGGTGGCCTGCCCTGTCTGAGGTGTGGCACGTGAAGTTTATTCCCACCTTGCCTCACTAGCTGTGGAACCTGGCTGGACAGTCTCCTCTTTGCCAGGTCACCCAAGGAGGGGATGGACCCTACTAGGCGGTGCCGCGGCCCCTTCTGTTGGGCAGCAGGGCATGTTTACTCAAAGGCTCTGGGTCACTTTGGCGGAGTACCTTTCACCCGGGTGCCTCAGGCCCTGCTGCTCCCACTAGACGCAAGCTGCCCATTCCACGTCATGTTCAAGCCCCTGGCCCCAGTGGGATCCTTGTGAGACTTGAAATTAGGAGGCATGATTTCTGCTCACAGATGGTGTGTGGTCTTGTTCATCCTCCCTTGTCCCAGTAGCAATGAGAGGGCCCTGTCATCAGCTGAGCTGTGGCTCTACTCACAGAGGGGCTTCTGGGAGGAGGAGGGCCTGGTGTGTTGTGATTCACGGATGGGTAGAGCCTAAATGCACCTCTTTAGCCCCGGGGGTGTCCATGGGGGAGGAGTCTGAAGCAGTGTGATCAGGAGCAGAGTGAGGGCTATGAGCTGTGGACCACAATCTGAGGATACTGCCTTAGTCTACCTCCAAGTTCTCCTAAGTTTCTGTTCTCCCTTCCTTATCGGCCACATCCATCACTGCCCCAGTCCTTTCCCCCTCCTTGACTCCTCACCCTGCTCCTGCTTTCCCGCCAAGATCAGGAGTAAGGCAGAGATATCTGCTCTCACTACCTCCATTCATTGTGATGGAGGTTCTAGCTCAAGGAATAAGGCAAGACAAAGAGATAAAAGTGTTCTGTGTTTTCTTAGAATCTGTATTTACGCATTTGGCTTCCATTCATCACATGGCAATTGTATTAACTTTTTTTTTTAATTGTCTGCATTCTTGATGCTCTGCACCTGTGGCCTTGGGGGCTGGGGAGAGATGGCCCCCCCCAAGGCTAGCCTGTTTTTAGATCTTGGGAAGGGCTTTCCTAAGAGCATGTCTTTCATATGCCAACTAAACCATGGGGCACATACTCTAAAACACCACTTTTATCTAATTCTCACACACCAATCCAGTATTTCCTCTGCCCTGAATCAACCCTGTGCTGGGTGACAGACAACTAGAGATAGCGCTCTCGAATTCATCAAACTGGCCAATCCTAAACTGTTTTCTCTTCCTTAACTTGTCTTGCCAGGGGAAAACATAAAGACTGTGGTCTATGCCTTCCACTCGGTCTTGCCTCTGCTCCCTCTAGTGTTTCCCCATATGACCCTCTATGGCATGCGTTTTCCTTCTCTGCAGGAAATGTGAGTTATAAAAACCTTTCAGTGTCATTACCCTCTCTGTTTCATCACTCAGTCTCTTGTATAAATTAAAATTCTGTGAGTATAAGATTAAGCCAAAAGGTATCCAGATTGAAAAGGAAGAAGTAAAAACTCTTTATTTACAGATGACTTGATGGTTTATGCAGCAGCTCCAATGGAATCAACAAAAAAAGTAATGGAACTATAAGTGATTTAAGCAAGGTCACAGGAATCAAGAGCAATACACAGAAATCAATTTATTTTCTAATTCTAATGACAAAGAATGGAAGTCAAATGGAAACATCATCACTTACACTGGCTGCAAAAATATGAAATACTTAGGGGTACCTGGGTGGCTCGGTCAGTTAGTTTGAGCCTCAGTTCATAAGTTTGAGCCTGCTTCAGATTCTGTGTCTCCTTCTCTCTCTGCCCCTCCCCCACTCACACTCTGTCTCTCTCTTTCCAAAATAAATAAACATTAAAAAAAATTTTTTTTTTAAATTTTATGTTTTATTTCTGAGAGAGAGAGAGAGACAACATGAACAGGGGAGGGTCAGAGAGAGAGGGAGACACAGAATCTGAAACAACTCCAGACTCTGGAGCTAGCTGTCAGCACAGAGCCCAATGCGGGGCTCGAATCCACGAACCGTGAGATCATAACCTGAGCCAAAGTCTGTTGCTTGACCGACTGAGCCACCCAGGCACCCCAAAAATATTTTTAAAAAATACCAGGGGTGCCTGGATGGCTCAGTCAGTTGAGCATCTGACTTTAGCTCAGGTCGCGATCTTGTGGTTTGGGCCCCGTATCAGGCTCTGTGCTGACAGCTTTGAGTGTGGAACCTGCCTTGGATTCTGTATCTCCCTCTCTGTCTGTTCCCCACCCCATTCACACTGTCTCTGTCTCTCAAAATAAATAAATGTTAGAAATAAATATAACAGAAGATGTGCAAGATCCAAACACTGAGAACTAGAAAACACTACTGAGAGAAATTAAAATTAATGAATGGAGATTTCCTACATAAGTATGAACAGTACCAGTGCTGTTCAGATGTCAAATCTCTCCAAATTAATACGGAGATATAACACAATCTTAATCAAAGTCCCTGTAGGCTATTTTGTAGAAATTGTCAGGCAATTCTAAAATTCCTATAGAGGGGCACTTGGGTGGCCCAGTCGCTTAAGCATCCGACTTCAGCTCAGGTTACGATATCATGGGTTGTGAGTTCGAGCCCTGCGTCAGGCTCGGTGCTGACAGCTCAGAGCCTGGAGCCTGCTTCCGATTCTGTGTCTCCCCCTCTGTCTGCCCCTCCCCTGCTCATTCTTTGTCTCTCTTTGTCTCTCAATAACAAATGAATATTTAAAAAATTTTTTTAATAAAATAAAATTCCTATAGAAATTCAAAGTACTTAGTATTTAGAATTCCTATAGAAATTCACAATACTCAAGGTGCTATCTCTAGTTGTCTGAAATTAAAGAGCCAAATCGGAGGATTTATGCTACCTGACTTTAAGACTTACTGTAAAGCTACTGTAATCAAGATACATTGGTATCAAGACAAACAGAGCAAAGGAACCAAAACAAGTACAGAAAGAGACCCACAATTATGTGGTCAATTTATTTCTAACAAAGATGTAAAGGCAATTCAGTGGAGAAATAGTCTTTTGAACAACTGGTACTGGAACAACTGGAAACTTATATACAAAAAAGTGAACTTCAATTCATATTTTGCACTATGTACAAAAATTAAATCACAATGAATCATAAGCCTAACTTTAAGTCCTAAAATTATATAACTCAAGAAAAAAAAAGATAGGAGAAAATCTTTGTGACTTTGGGTTAGGTGCGGATTTCTTATTTTCAACACCAAAAGCATTAAAGAAAATACTGATTGGGGTGCCTGGGTGGCTCAGGCAGTTAGGTGTTGGACTCTTGATTTCAGCTCAAGTCATGATCTCAGGGTCATGGGGTCAAGCCCCACATCTTGCTCTGCTCTGAGTGTGGAGCCTGCTTGGGATTCTCTCTCTCTCCTTCCCCCTCTACCCCGCAACTGCTCACTAGTGCACATGCTCTCTCTTTCTAATTTAAAATTAAGTTAAAAAAAGAAAACCATAATGAGATACCATTATATATTT